AGAGAAGGCGGCGTCGAAAAGGCTCCCTGCTGTGGTACTGTAGCCGCTGTAGATGCAGGCGCCGAATGACTCACCTGCCGCACTGTAGCCACATGCAGGGACATGCGCAGAAGTCGATCCTGCTGTGTTATTTAGTCACTGTAGCAACATGGGAGTTGTACTAGGACTAGATGGATAGAGTTGTATATATAGTTTGTCACTGCAACTCAACAAAGAGAGTTCAATTTTGCCATCTCTTATAAAGGGCTCCGGCCAACGCTGGTGCCTGTACTATGTGTGTATGCTCTGTTCTCCCTCTTCTTCTACCTCGAGCAATAATGTGTGTGGTCAGACAGCCTCGGTCGTGGTCGGTAAGACTGGTGAGTGGTCGACTCACCTGAGCCGGTGATCCTGTGGGCTAACAGTGTCATGCCTTGGCGCTATCTTCATACACTAGAACTTGTTCTGCAATTATGGATTTAGCTATACAGCATATTCAAGTTTGACCTCTACTTACATGATGAAGCCCTTCTTATCATCCTTTGCTTTACAATATCTTGCAGGTTGCATGATTGAGTTGAAAGAAGATAAATCTAGGTATATATGAGATCTATTAGGAGTGGGAGGGAGGGAGGGAGGGATTTTGATTTTCTGAAGCATGGTTCACAGATTAAATGAGGACGGTACAAGGTCCATACAAACTCGATCATTTATTACTTTTTCTCAGCTTGTCAGTACTCGATCTTGCAATTGCTAAAAGTGTGCCAACTAAATAGAAACCACATTAATGAATATTCATCTGCCAATATTATCGGCTCGCAATTGTTATTGCATATTTTAGCATATGGTCACAACAGCATACACATATGTCAGTTCTGTGAAACACAAACAGATTGACTCTCCCATTTGGGCTGATCTTATCAAAGTCAAGAACATTTATTTACAGGGGAGAAAAATGAAGGTGAAGAATGGCAAAAACACCCTGGTCTTCAGAAATAAGTTGACAAGGAGATGTTGATTAAAGGCGTCGACACCATGATCAAAATTGCACTATAGCTACTGTCCAAGAAGCATCAAGCGGTGACTCGTTCCAACTTATTGCCAGACCCCGCTGATGAAGATGACGCAGAACAGGAGCCGGATTGCTGATGGAGCCTGGAACTTGCCGCTCTCTTTTCAGCCCAGTGTTCTTTTGTTGGCTGTAGTTATCAATCTCAGGGTTGTAATCTGGCGTGGTCTGTTAGGCTTTTACTTCATACTGTGTTCTGGACGTCTGTCTGTTCTGTTTGCTACTCTGATCAGGCCTTAAAACTCTGCTGTATTTCCGTTCTTCGTAATGGAAATGGGGAATATCCCTAATTCGAAAAAAAACATACACATATGTCAAAAACTTTAGAGCTCATGTCCTAAGTTCGGATCGATCGCAACTCACAAGCCACATGAAAGGACGACTCAAAATATGTCTTGGCTGGCTTGCTACTGGCAAAGGTGCGGCATTTGCTACTGGCAAAGGCGCGGCAATGCCGCGCCTGGTTTTCTAGTATCTCTGAATTTTGAATCATTTCACAACCCCTGGATATCAAATGAATTAAACTGTAGAGAGTTGTCAATAAGTTCATTAACTTCCTATTGGGTGCTTAAACATTGGATATCAGATGAATATTCTAGGAAGTACAAATTCTTGAATGTTAGGCTGTTTTCAGGTTTGTACGAAACCGTTGTCTATTCTGTGGGCTAAGACTAAACGATTGAACTGATATTTGATATGAAGTTCAATTCTGATTGACCTTCGCCCATCTGTTGTATGCATCGTTCCCCTTTGTTGGACACTTGCTCTTGATCCTCGACAATTGGTCACCTCATGAAATCAACAGAGGGCATCTTGGACACATATCATTCACATGTTTTAAATTAATTAGCCTAATGGCTACCAACCTCATTTAGACTTGTCTGAAGCTGGTAACTTGACCTTCACTAGCCCAACTATACCCAGTATTTCAGAGCTTTTCTTGCCCAGCAGGAATATGCATGAATTTTTTCGTTTGTGGTTGATGTTTTGTGCATTAGTGTCCAAATAATTGTAGTGGTAATGTTGCAATATGTCTAAGTTAGTAGCTCAGCTTTGTTCCTGCTCTGTTCGGTAGCAACGGCAAGCACAAGCAGTTAGCTTAGGTCCACCTTGTCATTTGCAGTAGCAACAATAAGCCAATAAGCTATATGTGCGCAAGTTCTGGTCACCTTTAGGTTACATAGCAATTTTGTTTATTTCTCAGTTAATTTCACTTGTGAAGCTATATTGGTTTAGCAGTTTGCGTTGTTGGTAGGAGCAGAGCAGTTCAGTTGCAGCTATACTTGGTAGGAGCAGAGCAGTTCAGTAGCAGATATAACCACCATTTTTCAGAAAGTTCAGAGTATTTTTTTAGAAAGTTCAGAGTATTCTTGCTTTAGTGGAATTCGTACAGGGTAGTAGCTTGAGAGGCTTTAATTTGTGACATTGCCATTTCATGCAATAGTGAATCAATCTTTCAAGCAATTATTAGCAATTCCTTAGCAGCGGTTTGTTCCTAAAACATATTTGTTAAAAAATATCTTTAGGATGATATATAGTTGAGTAAAAAAAAACTGATGTGAACTAGCACTTTGTAAATTTTAAACATCAATTACACCTAGCATTTGGCCTTCAATGTTGAAGCTTCACAAGCTTTAGCTTTTGTTTCTCTGAGTAGTTTCGCGAGCTATTTCAGAATGTTTCAGAATGCTTCTCCAGGATCAGGAGGATCAGGAGCTTTTCCAGGAGCACTAGTTGTTATGGTATGGCTTTTCCAGAATGCTTCTCCAGGATGTTATGGATACGGCTTATTCGATCTTGGATTATAAGCTGCAACAGTATTTTTCTCTCACACCCAATCAGCCAGCAGTACTTATGACTTATAATCCACGAACGTTTCAGCCGAAACGAAAAGCTAATTGTTTGGTGACATATTTGCATTCTGTGGTTCCTTTGTTACTGCCTTTACTTATCATTGTCACTCATCAAGACTAAAGGGTCACGATATTGTTTATGATGAACTACCTGCATTCTGTGGTTCCTTTGTTACTGCCTTTACTTATCATTGTCACTCATCAAGACTAAGGGGTCAAGATATTGTTTATGATGAACTACCAAGTCCAGTAGATGTAGGTCTTGTTCTGCAGTATTCTGTTTTATGAATTGATGTAACACTGTCCAGTAGATGTAGGTCTTGTTCTGCAGTATTCAGTTTTATGAATTGATGTAACACTCTGTGCACACCGATGGCTACAGCATGATTGTTCATTCCTGGTCAATTTGCTTTAACAGGTTACCATACCAAAACAAAACTTTGCCTTTTTTTGAATGCAAAGTATAGAAACGATATCATTCAACTGCATCTGAAATGTTTGAAGATGGATCGATCATAATATATGATGCTCAAATAAGCAAAACTTTGTGAAAAATTAGAAAATTGTAGTTTTACCATCTGAATATGCAGTTTTATATATGCTTTGCGGGAAAACCTTTCTGACGATTCCTGAAGAAAAAAGTGGTACAAGACCAAAATTTGTGTACACTGGATCATCCAACCAGTCCATTAACATTGAGAAACCTTCGAGTGATGTTGCATCAGATAATAAGCGGAGTTTTTAGTCCACACAAGATTCAGTGTATAGCATAATATTAACTTGTCATCACTTGCCAACATCTGCTTTGTAACACAGATAAAATCCTAATTCTTAACATTGCCAGAAAAGCTTTTTTTCGAAAGAAAGTAGCAGCGCTTAACACAGGCATCAGATAATAAGCGGAGATTATTAGTTTTCGAAAAAAAGTAGCAGCGCTTAACACAGGCATCAGATAATAAGCGGAGATTATTAGTCCACACATGGCAGTAATTCCATTGAGTGTGTAGGATAAAGATTTACACATCACTTGCCGTCGTAATAAGCGCTTGATTCGCATTCCAAACCAAAACCAACAAACGAGCAGAGCTGAATCAGAAAGATCAGCACGAAGAAATTTTGATTAAACCATTTGACTCCAGAGCAATGCAAGGCTGCAAAGGGTTGGTAAGTTAACCATGTCGCTCTCTGCACCAGCTTTGCTTTCTCAGGTTCTTTGGGCTTCAATCGATGATTGAGCCCATCCCTAGAAGAATTTAAGCAAGGCGCAACAGTAAATTGATTAAAACAAAACTAATTGATCTGAGCTCAGAATGATGCGTAACCCAATCACGGAGATTGATCTCAGATGTCCAGACATAGAAATAATTAAGCATCTTCATGACAGCACCAATACTTTGACAAACTCGAAGAGGAATTAAAGAGTGAAAACAAGCAGATGGAAGGGCTTTGGTTCTTTCTCTCGGATGCCAACCGGAAGGAAGGCATGTAAACTGCAGACGAATCAACACGGCATCAGATTCAGACCGCCCGTCTGCTTGTAATTTCTTCACAGAGAAAGATCCAACAGCAAAGCCACGCACAACCAAGGGAAGAGAATATCGACTGTTATAGAAATTGAAAAGCAATCGAGAGAAGCAAGAACAGCGGGCGCCTCGCCCAAACGAGGAGATGCAAAGCGTAGGGTTGTGTCTGTATAAATAGAGAGGAGATTAGGGTTTCAGTTCTATTGGGCCTTTGGAGGCCCAACAGGTCACGCGTTGCAGCCTGCAGGGCTTATAGGGCGGGCCGCCAAGTGGATTAAGTCCAATGCCAAATGGGCCAGTTCCGCGTGCCGAAAGGAAATCTGCGCGGCGCCACGTGAGCTGCAGGTGGCCGTTTCGCAATCCGACGCGGTAGTGTGGCAACGGACAAGCAAATCCGGACCGCCGATGGCGATGGCGCCCCAGCCGGTGCACGCCGCTGCGGGAACGCCAGCCATCCGAAATCCAAGCGCCGCTCGCCCGCTCCCCGCCACAAGCTCCTCCTCTCCCCTCCTCCCACCTCCCTCCACACTCCAGAGGCAGCACGTGCTCGAGCACCGCTAGGCCAGCCGCACCACCATGGCGGGCGCGCCGCCGCGGAGGTCGGACGTCGACTTCGCCGATGTCTTCGGCGGCCCGCCGCGCCGCTCGTCGGGGAACGAGCAGCGCTCGCGCCGCGGCTCGCTAGACAGCTCGTCGTTCGGGTCCGCGACGAGGGCGCGGAGCGGGGGATCGGACACGCCCGTGTTCGGGGACCGGGGGAGCTCTGATCGAAGGAGGCATCCCGGGGAGGACTTTTACAAGGACATATTCCCCGGGAGCGAGGCAGCGTCGCCCAGGCGGGGCGGCGCCGGGGATTGGGGGGATGTGTTCGGCGGGCCGGCTTCGCCTGTCTCCACGGCCCGCCCGCGATCGAGGTACTACTGTTTAACTTGTCACATAGAACGAAGCGAGCTTTTCAGCAAAGTGATATCAAGCTAGCAACAATCGTCGTACTAACGTATCTGGAAATGTGGGCATTGTGATTACGTAATGCTTCCTTATGTTTACATATCTGTGAGTTTAGCTAATAACTGGATGGTTTACATGGAGATTATTTGTTGCTCGTCGATCCATCAAACTTGAAAGCGAAGGGAAGCAATAGATACGACGAGTCCATCACTGATCACTCTTATCTGATCATTTCTTTTATTATTTTGTAAACCACATCTTTGGTCTACTTTGGAATGTACAACCTCTACCTGTTTCTTGCAGCTTCTCCATGCGGGTCAACAGAGGCACGGACGGTTCAGTGCCTACTTCTCCCTCTCGGCAAATATCCAACAGAAACGATGATGGGACACCTTATGCTTACAGTGTTCCAACTTCCCCCAATGCATCCATGAATAATTACCTTGCCCAAGGGGCAGCCCAACGACATTCAAAGAAGAATCCCTTCTCTTGGCATCGCTATCCATTCCTATCTAGGTTCCGTTCTCAAAGTGGAGAAAAGAAAAGCACATCTAATTATGTCAGCTCCATGGACAGTGAATTTGAAGAGACTCCTGTTAACTTGGAAAGTATCATGGCCAATAACAAGTTCCATTTTTCCTTCTATAAGTGGGCAAGCAAAGGAGCCTTGTTAGTGTTGCCAGCTACTGCACAAGAAAAGTCTGCAGACATTATTGGACTGAGAAGCTTCCCTCAAGTGGTCGTTCAAGGTATTGATCTGATTGATTATGAAGACAACATGTCAACTGCCACTGGAACATCCAAAAGTCAGACAGATTACGAAGATTCCAAATCTGGAAAACATAGCACAAACTCAGTAACCAAGGATGGAGCTATTCCTTTACTCTCCGAGGACTACATGCAAGGTGATAACGCCAAAAATGCATGTATTCTTTTATTTAGTGCCGCGAACATTTCATTACTGACATGTTCTTAGATCTCAGCAGCTAAAAATACTGAACCTATCTGCTCTATGTATATTTTGGCCCTTTGCATGGTTAAAAAGAGCAGAGTAACTAGATTTCTATTATTAAGTTAGAGTACAAAGTGCATTCAGCTTATCAAACTCTTGTAATAGCAAAGGGCATGCCCTTTTCTTATGGACTTAATCAAACTGTTGTTATTCAAAATATATAAATTCTTGTTTGCCCCTTTTCTCTTCATGAATAGATGGATTCCAGCTTATGTCATTTCTCTGCAGGAACGAAACAGAGCAATGATCATACAAAGAATGATGTTTCATCAGCTAGCCTGAGTTCTAAAATTTCTCGATCACCTTCAGAAAGAAGTCGTAGTAGCAGGTTAAAGGAAAAGGTGAAGGGTTTTATAAAACTGTTTAGCCCTGAGAGTTCACCAAAGCGCAAACGAGCACTGGAAACACAAGGCCAAACATCTGTCGGGAAAAATGGAAGCAAAACTGAACTGCAAGATAAGTTTAGCATATCCAGTTTGGAGGCCAATGAGGATGTGGAAACGGCACAAATGAACAGCCAGAATGCTTTTATCGCTGAACCTTTTCCAGTATGTCAAATCTAGATTATATATTTACATGCATACATATTTCTCTGAATGTTAATATTATTTTATGAATTTTAAGTACTCGAATTCTTGAATATTGTCTTCTTTAAAATAGAGAATTTTTCAATAGACAGATATACACATTAGATTAGTCTCTTGATTGTTTCAGATGAGTGAAGTGCAAGAGAGGATGGACAAACCAGTTCTGTCAGATAATAGTAAAATGGATACAGCTATAGGAAGTAATGAAGCCGCTTCTAATGGTAAGCTCTGACAGGGAGGGATTGTCCTAACTGTGCTTGTGAATGAGTTGAATATCCACCTCAATTTCAAGAAGAAACTTGGAATTTAACATAACCACTAACCATTGTTTGTATTGGTTTTTCTTGATTATTCCTACATCGAAAGAAAGACCACAATAGGCTTTATTGATATGTGTTTACCATAACATTTTGGGACCTTGCTGCATAGATTATTAGCTACAGTTGAGATTTTTTCTGACGAATGTACCAGTGTTTGCGGATGGGATATAAGTAACACAGAAATTCCCAAGCACATGCTTTCTATGATATTTTTTCATTAATTATCATATCAATAACTTGTGTTCTTGTTCACATATATGGTATTTCTTCTTTTTCTGTTTTTCAGAGTCCATCCATGATCATACAAAAGACAAAGCAGACAACACAATAGAGCATGAGGACACACACATTGAAGATCTTGATGGATGTGTGGTATGTGCAAACTGCAAAGTCTTTATATATTTTTTTAAGAATGATTATTAGTAGACAGGCAGTCAGCAGATGCGACTGTAATATTGGTCAATCCATCAACCAAATCGTTCATACAACTAATTTGTGCCGACCAGATACTGTTCCCATCAAATGTCCTACAGTGTCTTGGAAGCTGAAATTCAGCATTAGACTGGATACCACTAGGTGACTTACTGATTCGTATGTGTTTCCACCCAATCAAGGTTCATGACAGCTATAAACTGGCCTAATTTAATTGCCAAATACTCCAACCCTGGATGATTTGACAAACTTATTTTTTTTAATCCATTATTTAGCTCAATATGACATGAAAAATCCTTGCCAAAGCTCCAAGCCTGGATGATATGATCAATTCTGGTGTTGTCCTACTTATTAAAAAGTGGTGTTTTAATATGCATTATAGTGGCATTTAGCATATATTATTGGCTTACTGCACATCAGATACCTGGTGCACATTTTGAGATTCAGTTCCTACACCTCTGATCCATGGTTAACACTTTTTTTTTGGCGAAAACACAGCTCCAGCACCTTGGTATCCACAAATGGGGCTCTGAGATTCTAAATTTACACCCAATAAGTGTCATTTACTGCTGTATTAAGGAAATTGACTGAGGGGTGTGGGTCTGTGGCAAAGAATGTCAACCTACACTCCTACAGTCATCATGCAGTAATAAAATCAGCATGGATTTGTTTTACAATATAAGCTAAATTATTATTGATCCATAGCTAAAAGTAAACTAGAGACTAAACATGTAGGCAAAGATTGTTTTATTCAGGTGCATACTTTTACCTGTTCCCTGTTATATGGAAGTGTCCTCTTGTTATGTCTTCTTTGCCTGACAAATTTATATTTCGTCAATCAGGTTGAGCATTTCTCTGAAGATCCTGTTCTTCATAATGATCAGGAAAAGGAGCTAATAAAGGTACTATATGGAAGACAAATCTGTGACCTCTAAGTCTTCTTGTTTCACTTCCGTATTCTATTTGTCCAATTTTATTGTTTCCTTGAATGTAGATATCAGAATCTAAAATCCGTGAATGGTCAAGAGGAAAAGAAGGAAATATTAGGTCATTGCTTTCAACACTGCAATATGTAAGTGCAAGAGTATCAATCATATGTAATGTCTTACAGTATACTATTGCTATTTTTTTTCTTTCTAAGAACGATAGATGTGTTTATCCTATCTTTTGCTCTAACCCAGGTTTTGCTTATGCTATTGTTCTTTCTTAATGGCTGATGGGATCAGCCCGATTTTATATATATGGAAGAAGCATTCTAGATATTTTATTCTTGTTCTACGTCTTCTTCTGCAAATTTTGAAAATGATTTCCCTATTGTTTTATTCTCTTTGAAGTAGACCATAAATAATGTCTCCGCCACTTCTGGTTTTCTTTAAATTACAAAAGTTTTGTGCTCATTTAGGTCCTATGGCCTGAGAGTGGATGGAAACCTGTTCCTCTTGTTCATATAATTGAAGGAGCAGCAGTCAAGAAGGCTTACCAGAAAGCACTATTATGCCTTCATCCTGATAAGTTGCAGCAACGAGGCGCTGCCATGCATCAGAAGTATATAGCAGAGAAGGTTTTTGATATTTTACAGGTACACTAGATTTATCACAAGCATATTTCTGATTTACTTAGAGGGGTGGGCCTGGTGCAAGCGGTAGAGTCTTACCGCCTGTGACCGGAAGGTCCCGGGTTCGAGTCGCGGTCTCCTCGCATTGCACAGGCGAGGGTAAGGCTTGCCACTGACACCCTTCCCCAGACCCCGCACAGAGCGGGAGCTCTCTGCACTGGGTACGCCCTTTATATTTCTGATTTACTTAGAAATTGGACGGTGGATAAAGCTAATCTGAGATATACAATATTTGAGAATGGAACTGTGGAGGCATGCGATCCCAGCTTTATCTGGCACCATTTAAAAACATTTTCTCCTGTGCTTCAGTGTCCGTGCCTTTTTCCCCCCTTATGGAGCAGTATGTAGATGATCCTGAAATGAAATTATAGATAATGCATTGTACATATTCCACCTATGATATTCAGGAACCATCCAGTTCTAAGAAGTAGCATACCTATCTGAATGTTTTTCAGGTGCTATTAATTACTGTTTCCCTTGTTGAAACACTCCAGCAGTCAAATTATGCTTTTCCGGTCTAGTACTATTGTGCATTTGTATTGATGTTCTACAATGTTGATATCTTATTTTCCTGTCAACAAAAACAGTTGATATGCTTTCTCTTATATGTGTGCAGGAATCATGGAAGGAATTCAATTCAATCACTTTTGGATAGCATTAGGAGTTTATTTTGTTATTGCATTGGCACAATGATCTATCGCACAGACATTGTGTCCTGGTGTCTGCAACAGTTGGTTCAAACAACCTAGAAAAATATAGCAAATGGGCAAAGAGAGTTCGGTTTATGAATTTAGGCCCACTGGCAATGCCACCCTCCGCCTTTTCTTCAAAATTCCGACTGTGTGTAGTTTTTTTTTTGACAACAGTATGTAGTATTGGTTAATCAGTTCTATTGTATCCATACGATGACTGAAATATCATATGAGAAATGCTTTGTGTACAACCATTTGATGAGTGCCTAGCAGCTGATGATGTACAAATTTTGCCTGACCATCGAATAAAAAAGTGAATTACCTCCGTCGTTAAAAGAGTGCATAGAAACTTTCATAAGTTTGACTAGATTTATAAAAAAAATATATTATCAACATTTATATCACTAGATTGATTAATTATCAAAATATATTTCATAATTTATCTAATGATAGAAGGGCGGGTCTGGTGCAAGCGGTAGAGTCTTACTGCCTGTGACCGGAAAATCCTAGGTTCGAGTTGCGGTCTCCTCGCATTGCACAGGCGAGGATAAGGCTTGCCACTGACACCCTTCTCCAGACCCCGCACAAAACGGGAGCTCTCTACACTGGATACGTCCTTTTTTAATTTATCTAATTATACTTATTACATATCATAAATTTTTTTTTTATTTTTTAGAATTATATTTTTTTATATTTTATGTAAATGCTTAGTTAAACTTTGAAAAGTGAGATATAACACTCTTTCGGAGACAGATATAGTAGTGACAAGGGGGCTGCTTGGTTGGTTGGCTACCAAAGATTGCCATACCAAAGATTTAGCAAGAAAATTTTGCTAAAACTAAAGCAAGAATATTTGCCATAAATTTGACATGCTAATTGTGAGACCTTGATAATTTTTGGTAGCCAACCAAATGGCTGTCAAAATTTTGAATTGCCTAAGTTTGGTAACCAAATTTTGGCCTTCAAGCAATCAGGCCCAAGGTAACAAATGGAAGGAAGAACTCATGGTTCGGTGTTGTACTGGTGAAGTAGTGATATATCCTTGGCCAGAACCAGAATAGCAAGATCGCATTTTCTTCTCTCGCAGTGTGTATATGGAGACGGTCAAAACATTGCACTCGACCGAACACTACTACCGCCATGTTTAGATTGCAAAAAAATTCAACCCGATGAATAGTAGCACTTTCGTCTTATTTGATAAATATTGTCTAATCGTGGACCAACTAAGCTCAAAAGATTCATCTCGTGATTTCCAACTAAACTGTGTAATTAGTTATTTTTTTTACCTACATTTAATACTCCATACAAACGGCTAAAAATTGATGTGATGGAGAGAAAGTGAAAAAACTTAGAATTTGATGATGATCTAAACAAGGCCTACGTCCCGTCCGATTCACACTCGAACAAGTCTTAACGTAGCTTCCGTAGGCATAATATAAAGACAAAATAAATAGGAATACTGGTTTCTGTTCTCTACTGGTACGCAGGAGCCAAACGCTGCAAAGGCGATTTATCGGCCTGGTCGGCCCAAATATCGTGCCAAGCCCACGCGCAACGTCAAGCGAAGGAAGACTGCCCTAACCTCGTGCCCCCGCTCGTTTCCTTGCTCGACTTCTTCCCCTCGCCGTCGCAAGCGACGATGCTCGACATCAACTTGTTCCGCACCGACAAGGGCGGCAACCCGGACCTCATTCGCGAGTCCCAGCGCAGCCGGTTCGCCTCCGTCGAGCTCGTCGACGAGGTCATCGCCCTCGACAAGGCATGGCGCGAAAGTAAGTGTCTCCTCTCCTCATTACCCTGCCCCCCTCAAACCTCTTCTAGATCCCCGGCCGGTCTCTGACTCCCATGGGTTCCCGTTGCTGCTGCAGGGCAGTTCGAGCTGGACAAGATCCGGCAGGAGCTCAACGCTACCAGCAAGAAGATCGGCAAGCTCAAAGCCGTACGTTCCGTCTCAAATTGCGAATTCTGCGATGCACTCGTTATCCCTTTCCTTCTCGGGGTTCTGGGTTTCACGTGACGGTGGCGTATTTCTTTGCAGAGCAAGCAAGAAGAGGAAGCGAAGAAGCTCATGGAGAGCACAGACGAAATTAAGAAGAGGTTGGCAGCCAAAGAAGTTGAGGTGCAGGAGGCCAAGAGCACCCTCGACGCCAAGGTCACGACGATTGGCAACATCGTGCATGAGTCCGTGCCAGTCAGCGATGACGAGGTGATTTGTAAATTTAGCTAGTGGTTGTTCTAACTATTTCCTTTCCACTGAAGAACTGAACGGCTGAAAGGAAATTAATTTTTCAGTAACTGTTAGATTGTAATGTGGCAACCTAACTGTTGAGCCACTGTCAACTCCAACCCTGATTCTCACCCGCACCCTTTAATTGTTGGAATTCTAATTGTGCTTTAGGGTTCTACATGAAGATAAAGAAAAATATTGCATTCCTATTCTGGTCCAATCTTGAAATTGCAACTGGTCCCTCTGAATTTGACCTAATTGTTATAAATTTCAGCTGAACTGATTAAACTACTTGCAGGCAAACAATAAAATTGTACGGACATTTGGTGAGAAGAGAGTAGAGGAAAATTTGAAGAATCACGTGGACCTTTGCAGGATGCTTGACATTGTCGCATTGGAGAAGGGTATATGCTCTCAACTTTTCTCTATTTACAAGTGCTTTCTTACTGCCAGTATTGCTTGTTTAAGACTGTTCCAAAGCTATTACAAACCAATTGCCTATATCTCTTTTCTTTCTGATTGTTTTCGGGAGTAACTTGCTAATTTTGTTCCTTGCTGGCATTCTGGTATGGCTGCATGTGATTGTGTGCTGCCTCCGTTAACTTAACAACCCTTTCATGGAGAATGCGTAGTTCCATATATGTGTACATTTTATATATCATATTCAACATGCTTCTAGCAATCAACCTGCTTCAACTAATTTTGATGTGTTTGTGCTCTTTGTTTGCTTTCTTGCTGTGATTAAGAACATTTGTGGAACAGGTTGTCGAGTTTGCCTCTCACAACCTTTTACCTATTTACATTTTTGCAGGTGCTGATGTGGCCGGTGGCAGGGGTTTCTATTTAAAGGGCGATGGTGTCTTCCTTAACCAGGCATTGATAAACTTCGGGCTAGCTTTTCTGAGAAAACGGGGATTTGAGCCAATGCAGACTCCCTTTTTCATGAGAAAGGAAACAATGGCAAAATGTGCCCAGTTAGCCCAGTTTGATGAGGAGCTTTACAAGGTAAGGCTGATGAAATATTCCTTACGTGCATATATTGTTACAGTACAGCTATCTACATTCATAGTTTTATGACCTAACATAAATTATGCTTCCCTAATTTTTTAGTGAAAGATAACACATACTCTTCCTGTATCGGTTTACCATAATACACTCCTCTTTTATGATAATTAAGATTCTATACGAATGAAATTATATAATACATTTGGTCTTCTTTTAACTATCTTTCAAGTTCTAATGTTTTTTCCGTGCTGTTATAAAAAAAAACTAATTTCCATGTAGTTAATATCAGCAACATTACTTCTTGTTGTTTGTTTTCAGCCCATCTGTTTCATTACGATTACTCTGGGTATGATGGTTTTAGTCATAATAATAGTTTGATTATTTGGATGAATGTTATAGTTTTGATCTTTGATTTTGCATATATTTTATGGACTATCTATATATCTGTTGAAAGATTTCACCTACAAAATCTGTCAGTTCTCTAATAATAGTATCTCATTTTATTACAAGTACATTACTAGTAGTTTCATTTGTCAGGTTACAGGTGATGGTGAGGACAAATATCTCATAGCTACATCAGAGCAGCCATTATGTGCTTATCACCTAGGTGATCGAATCTACCCTGCTGAACTTCCAATTAAGTGAGTAATTTTTTATCTTCAGTTTCTTTATTGTTTAGTGACGCACACTATCGTATTTAATCACAAATAAATTACATACGTATAGATGTGCTGGGTACTCTACATGCTTCCGGAAGGAAGCTGGTTCTCATGGAAGGGACACAGCTGGCATCTTCAGAGTTCACCAATTTGAAAAAATTGAACAGTTCTGCATTACAAGCCCAAATGACAACGATTCCTGGGAGATGCACGAAGAGATGCTTAAAAATTCAGAAGATTTCTATAAGGAGGTAATAATCAGTGCGTTGTGATCTTTATAACCCAGGTTGTCCTCCCCCCGACTTTTCTAAACATTTCTTTAATGTCCATCTTGTAGATTGGGCTACCATACCAAGTTGTTTCCATTGTCTCTGGTGCTCTTAATGATGCTGCTGCTAAGAAATATGATTTGGAAGCATGGTTCCCCGCATCAAAGACCTTCCGAGAGTTAGTATCCTGTTCAAATTGCACTGACTTTCAGTCAAGGAGACTTGGAATTGGGTATGGCCAGAAAAAGGTAAAGGTTCTGTGCCACTTTGATTATTGTAGATGTGTCATTGTTCTCTGCACCGTCACCCAGAGTACGTTTAAATCTTACCAGTTGCTAACTCTTAACATTTCCGATGTATGACAAATCACAGAATGATGAGCAGTCCAAGCAGTTTGTTCATATGCTGAACTCTACCTTGACTGCCACTGAGAGGACTCTCTGCTGTATTCTGGAGAATTTCCAAAAGGAGGACGGAGTCGAGGTGCCGAAGGCACTGCAACCTTATATGGGTGGAATAGAGTTCCTTCCTTTCAAGCAACCTTTGGATGTCAAACAAGCTGCTGACTCCAAATCAAACAGGAACAGACTGAGAGCTGGATGATGCACGTGTAGGTGGAACTGTTGGATATTGTGCATCCTTATGTTAATTTTTGGGCCTGTCAGTACTCATAGCATGACTATGGAGTTGCAGGTTTTGGTTTCTTGGTCACCACATTATCTGATGACGTACTTGGCATACTTATATTGCATAGGATTTCTCGAAATGTTGATATTTGACCACCACCATCCCTACCCGCTGTG